CCCCCCACACACACACACATTGTCTATGATGTGCTGTAAGCAGTCGCATGTTAAAGATTAATATTGTTTTTTCCCTGCACTGCTTTGACTTGCCACTGGACTGGCAAGCAGGGGCACAGCTAGGAGCCAGGTCACCTGGGCTGTGTCCCTGCTTGTGGGGGAAGAGGGGAGGCTGGGAGGGGTGCATCCTGGGACACTGGAGGACTGCAAATTGCTTGTTTTATCTCCATGGAGCAGACTGAAGTTACCCTGATGCAAGACAGGTAGCACAGATGAGAGTTAATGTTCACTTAAAGTGGCATAACACTGAGGCCCACAGAAGGCATTTAGCATCAGTTAACCAACCTTAATGTGTAGATGCCTACATTTTAAGTGCCCTTAGTATAGTCTAAGTGTAACCTGTAACTTCATCATTATGTTAGTATCTTAAAATGAGGAGGCTTTTTCAAACTGTCTTTCTGAAATGCAGTGTTAAAATTTCCCACAGCACAATCCTAGTCTTATAAGAAATACCAGAGAACATAGAATCACTTAATTTGCAGAGTTCTGTTTTCATTAAGTTCTTTAGCAAAGGATGTACTACTTTCCTTGTTGAGATTATTGCTATTTTACTATCCAGTTTCTTTCTCTCTATTTGGAAATAGGCTTTTGTTTTATTGGAATATATGACAAATGCATTTCATTTAATTTTAGCTGTAGTTTACTCTTATTTTTGTGTCAACTTTTAACATAAATTTAAGAGCATTTCATTTTTTCTGTTGATTCAGTAAATTGAGAGAGATGCTTTGAGGAAAAGATATCTGACTTAAATTAAAAGAACTTTCTGTTTTTAGATGTGGTCCAGGCTACACAAGCTTAAAAAGAGCCTACTTGGGGCGGGGGGGCGGGGGGGAGAATGTTAAGCGACTGGTGCTTTTTTAGATTTTATCCCATTAAGTTTCATATTTCGTTTCAGGAATAAATTTTCCTTCGTATATGCCTCACCAGTAAGGCTCATGGATTTCTGTATGCATGAAATATATTCTGACACCTGGTTCCTTCCCACCAAAAAGCCTTCAAAACATGGGAAAATAGGACATAGGACTAGAAGGGATGTGCTATGCCATAAAGTCTCTGCTATCACAGGCAACCATATCATATAATCTCAATAATAAATTTATCAACTTTGATATTAAAAGTATTTAGGATTTTTGTTCTAAAGCTTTATATGCCGTTGAGGACAAATTAACTGGCATGTAGTTTTCTAGATCATGTTTTTCCCTTTTAAAGTGTAAGTAGTATATTAGCTCCAGTTATACAATATGACGCCAAACTTGGTAGGTTTATTTCAAATCCTTACTACGAGACCTGTAATTTAATGTGCCAGTTTTTTTCAGAATTCTGGGATGGAAACTATCCAGTCCCCACAATTTGAGCACATTAAGTTCTCTAAATTTGCTTCATCTCAGATGTGGTAATTTCCTTTGACATACTGTCATTTTCATTCCATCCTACCTCTGTCCCCACCATCTTAATCCCCATCACCTTAATTGAAAACTTAAGTATCCATTTAGTTTTTGAATCACCCATACATTATCTTTAATATCAACCTTTTCTTCAGGTCCACTTTTTTCTACATTCTCTTTTTAATTTGTATGGCAAAAAAGCTTTTACTATTTGCAGTTTCCCTTAGAAGTTCTAACTGAGCTTGACTTCAGTCATTCCCACTTTTCCCAACACTTTGATCCCTTATCCACTTGACGCTTATTTCCATAATCCCCTTTGAGAAAGTAACTCATCAAATAAGGTCTGGAGCCCTTCCCTACAATCTTCTTTTTCCCCACTTTTGCTTGAGGTGAAAATTCCAAATACACCTTTGACATGAAGATAGTCCAAGCCTCCTCCATATTCAAAGCTTTGCGTTCTTCCATGCTGTTGACTTTACTCCCTGATTTCCTTAATTCCTCATCTTCTGCCCACCATATTTTTTATCCCTGTAGAATCTGGTTTCATGTCATAGACAGGTAGTTCTAGTTCATCTGTTTTGTGGCACAGGCTTCTCACTTTAATGTCCACATGTCTCAGTTGTTTCTCACTGACCTCTTCTAATTTCCTAGCCAGATTAGATAAGGTCCTTTCACTAATTATGCCACTACCTCATCTCATGAACATATTTTCTCATTGTTGTCCATTCTTCTACCATCTGATGTTCCTATACCTATTGTTGCACTCTTGTTCTTGCTTCATATTAAAATCTAGGTATAGCAGTTTGCACACATTCCCAACTTCCTTCTCCTGTTTCTTAATTTATACCTCCTCTTGATCTCAGAAAGGGACCATCTCAGGTACTCAAGTTACCATCCATCTGTCTTCCACAGGCTTCCCAGGCTTCAGTCTCATAGGGGCATTTAAATCTCTAGTGGGGGAACTAGTCAAGAGAAAAGGTTCCAACCAGCTGACAACTCTGAAAAGGTATTGTAGTCCGGGAACCATGTGCCAGGGCTGCAGAATACTACACAGATTAGAGGGATAGAACCAGCCTGTTAACCCATAGGTAACCCTTCATGGATGTTAATAATAGGAGCATAGAAATTACAATACTGTACCATATTTATGGTCCATCTAGTTAAATATCCTTTCTCTGCTGGTGGTCAGTACTAGCTTCTTCAGAGGATAGTGCAACAAATTATGTAGAAAGTTATAGAATAACTTGCTCCCAGGACAGCTTTCCTCTTAATTTATTAATCAGAGATTGGCTTTCTGTTCTGAAACATTTATGTTTTTATTTGAAACAGGTTATGTTTCAAAATACTGTATTGTGTTTTTCAGTATTTATTATTGCTATTTGGGATTTTCTTGTTAATTGTTTACTTAATAATTGATCTCAATGATACCTTGGAATCGTGTGTCCATAGGACAGTTATACACTAATTATACAGTAATTTCATTTTATTAGTTCTGGATTTCTCACTTTTCATTTACAGCTAAAGATCATTTGTTCTGCTAATATGACAGAGTTGGATAGAAGTTTGCAATCTATCTTTTCAATACTATTTGTTGCTTGATATATTTTTATCTTGTCGTCTTATTTAATTTTTGCCTACTATTGTCAGTTTTAAAGTTTTCATTGGGCGTGTCTACATGTGGGCATTTAATGCTCATTAGCCCTATTTCAGGTGCATTAAGGGTGTGCATCTACACATGTGTGCCCTTAATGCACCTTAAAATGGCAAATTTAGGCTAATCATGCCTAAATTTAATACTTGCATAAAGCAAGTACCAAATTTTGGCACAATTATTTATAGCAGATTAATAAAGAGCCTTCAGTGCTGGGTCTACCCAGACACTAGGGGGCCAGCCAGAGCCCAGCCCCAGGGCGCCTGGCTGGCCACCTCATCTGCTCCAGGGCTGGGCTGCTTTCTGGCAGCCCCTAGCTGCAGGCTATAAAAGCCTCCACACATTTTGTGCCTTGGGGCACACACACCAGGAGCCTGGACAAGTCTGTTGCTGTGCACAGGAGTCACCAGGCCCCATGTGCCCCCCTGGATAGGACCCAGGAAGCCACTGTCCATCCTGTCCCCCTAGCTGGAGCTGCTTCTTGGCCACAGATGAGTGTTGCAAAGGGCTCAACCTTGCTACATCCCTTGCTTAGCCCTGAGATTCCTCTCAGGGCTGCTGGCCCTGCTCTCTATGGCAACAGGGCCAGCACCTGCTCCCTGCTCCTGCTCATCCCTAGCTCTATCTCTTTTCATGCAATGTGGTGAAGCGCCTCTGCCATGCAACTTCCCTCCCTTCCCATGCCCCTATCCTGGGTGCCACATGAAGACCAAGGTTTTGCGGCCATGGTAGGTGGCTTTGACTGACTTCAGATATTGGTCTGGTCATGCCTAGAAGACCATGCCCTTCATGAGCCAGCTGGCCCACATTTTGGCACCCTGGCAGCCAGGCCACACCCCTGTGAGTGCTACCAGCAAGGGTGGCCTGCCCTTACCTGTACCCTGCCCTGATGCCTCTGGTGACACATCACAGGAGGTAGGGATCTCAGGACTTCAGCACCCCACTCCACCCACCTCCCCAGCTGCTGCATCAAGGAACCCTGCCTAGTGGCTGCCTCACCCTCAGCCCAACCCCACACCCCATGTCTCCATGATTCATTGTCATCATCATGCATTTTTTCTGTTTCTGCTACATCTTTTTTTGAGATGGGTCACCCAGATTGTAACAGTGTCCCAAATAAAGTCATTCCACTCATAGATTAACATTACTTCTGTATCATTCTCCGTCCCATTCTTGATGTTTCTTAATATTTAGTTTTCTCTTTTAAAATTTTACATTTTTAAGGCTGCTTCATATTTAGCAGATGCCCTCACTGAGCTGTCCATATTTATGTTAGATCTCTTTCCTGAACTGATGTAGTTAATTTAGAACCCAATAAAAGTTTTAAGTAGTTCAAATAATATCTTCCAAAAGGCACTATTTATCCTTTTTCAATATTGAATTTAATTTGCTGCTAAGTTGCCATTTGCCTCACACAGTTACGTCCATTTGAATTTCCTAACCATCATTCCTCCTCTTGAATAAGTGAAAGAACTTTTTATCCTCTGCAGATTTGCCACCCAAAGCTTACTCTTTTTTTAGAGAATTAAAAAAACATGTTAAACACCACTGATGCTTGTGCAGGACCAGGTAACATCTACCTTTTTTAATATTGGTGCATTCTTTGAGACCTTCTAGGTTTTTATTACAGTGTCTCATTTTAATAAGATTATATGTATTTTCTAGCAATTAAGCCACTGCATTATCAGGTTTCTTTAGAACACCTAGAACATCTAGGTCTCATGATATATTACTTTTTGAATTATCAGTTTGTTCCAGCATCTGTTCTTTGAGTATTCCAATTCTTATAGTATTTTTGTACTTTTTTACCAGAAATGATTAAGCTAAAAATTGGCATTGCCTTCACATGTTTTATGATGAAAACATGCAAAAAAGTAATTCTTCTTCTAAACTGTGTCCTTATTTTATTTAACTGATCCCCTATTTACTGTTAAATTGAACTCTCATGATTTGGAGATCAGTGGATTCTCTTAGAAGCATCCTGTACTGATATATTTAAAAATGCGTCCTTATGTTCACCCTTACATTTTTAATAGCTTCACATTCCATCCTTACCATTTTAAACTTCTTTACATATTTGCCTGCTGTAGATGTGCTCCTTTTTGTTGGCTATAATTGGGCTTCCATTTTCCTAATATCTTTTGCTTGAATACCCTCCTAAACTCTACTCATTTATCTATACTTTTTTGTAAGTTATTTTATAATCTTGTTTTTTCTTCTTATTTATTTATTTAGGCCAGACAAAATCAACTTTTTTTTTAAGTATGAAAGATTCTGATTTCTATACTTTTGACTGTGGTATGGTGGGGGAAAGGAGTGGTGACTAGCTTTTTTTGGTTTAGTTTAGTCTCACTGTTCTGGTTTTACAATCCTTCCTTACTTAAAACTATTTCATGACTTAACAGAAATTGTAATAACACATAGTATTTATATAGTGCTTCATGTTTTCAAAAAGCTATGAAAACTGTGACTAATAAATACCCTGAGAGACAGACAAGTGGGTAACATTATCTCCATTTTACAGTTCAGGAAACTGAAGCAGAAAAGTGAAGTGACTTGCCCAAGAATATGTTCTGAGTCACTCTGTGGGCTGGATCCTTGTGGCTATGAAGGAAAAAATTATAAAATAGTGTATGAAACATTGCTATTTGAAAAATTAAAGCCTTTTTCCCTTTTCTTTTCTTTATTAGGGAAACTATAACAAGGCCTGTGAATATTTCAGTCAGGCTTTTGAGGCAGCAAACACTCTAACTAATTTGCCCTTGGTGGATGAAACAAAGGTTTATTATGGCATTGCAAAAGCTCATAACATGATGGTGGCAGTTAACAGCTATACAGAAACTGCAGATCCTGTCAGTGTTGAGTACCTGCTGGCATGGAAGGAGAACAGAAGTGGCATGTGCACTGACCCTTTTACAGTCGGTAAGACATTGGTTATGAAACGCATTAGTGCTGCATTGTCTTTAATGGTTATGTCATTTTTCTTGTAGAGTTTTATTAAATTATTTGCTGAGTTTAATCCTATTGGATTACCCTTGTATTGGATGGAGGTTAGATTCACTTCTGTGTGCACTTATTTTAAAGATCGAATTAAATAGGCTTAAATACAATATAGAAAAGAAAACAGATAGCAGTAATCTATTTTAGATGCCAACTCTAACATTCTCAATGCTCAGTTCTCAGATCATCACAATCAGAGGCAAACAAGTGATGAATCAGTTTAATCAAATGATGACCAAGTGAACCTTCAAATCAATCTTCGCTTTTAGTCTGTTCTTATAGGACAAGGATAAAAATAAATTCTCTGTTGTTAATAAGAAGAAATATTTTCCCATTTTTCCCAAATTCTGTGTGTGTTCCCTGCACATTCAGGCATATTTTTTGGCATTTCTTGTCCATGAGAATTATATGTTTTAGCCAAAGAAACATAAAAAAAGAGTTTTCCCTTATTTCCTTTGTGTAATTTCTTGTATCAAATAGTGGAAATGTGGGTGAAGGAAGATGGACCTTTCCTTCCTTAATTAATTTTCTTTGGTTTTACTTTCTCTTTGGTTTTTATTTTTTCTAATAAAAGGAAGATTAAAAAAAAAAAACCTCAATTCAGCATTATCTACCTTTTAAGCACTGGTGCTATTTTACTATCTTGTACTGAGGATAATCCTGTTCTTATTAAAGAATATCATCTATAGACCCTTACACATGGAAAATAACCTGGGAAGAAGTGACTGTTAAAGCAGTTTATAATGGTGCAGTAGATGTTTGGCTCTGCAAAGGTATTATTTATAAAAGACTGTGCCCAAATTAAATCAGTTTCTCTTTTAAAGGCATTTTGCCCATATTTTCCATGTTTGTTTGCCTTTTCTGTTTCATGGAATTAGAAGATTTACATATAGCTTCAGTTGTAATTTTAATTTAAAAATACTTGATTAGTAGTTTTATTGCTGAAGATTTTGACAGCTGAGTCAGAAATAGCTGAGGTTTTTTTTTTTCCTGAGGCAGTATAAAATTTCAAGTAAAAACTGTGGGGCAAGCATGTTTACTACATTTCTGCTCAAATGGCCAGAATTTTTAAAAAGTTAACAAACTTTGATGAGGTTTCAGAGATATACATTTGATTAAGATGAACGTGGCAGTTTGTCTGTATATATTTAATTTTTGAAGCACATGTGTCCAGTGCACTCATGTTCAGAATTTTTCCAGCAATACTTATAGGGGCCACATATGCCCCTTGAGTTTCTTCATGCATCTGATCAAGGACCTAAAGGGTATGGTAGTGCCATGTGCTCCTTGGTTGTTCTCTCTGCCTGTGGCTAAATATCAGAACTTGCAGTACCTCACCCTCTTCCCTAACTGTGCTGTTTACCCATTGTTTTATAAACTGATAGGTATTTATCAGTCAGGGTTTAGTGTTAGTTTAGCTTTAGTTGTGCTTTTCATAGCATTTCCTTTCTTCAGCCTGCAATGATAATCTCTGAAAACTTGTCTCCAGGCTTTACAAATTGCTGTTCCTGCCAGGAAGCAATGTCTCTTCAAGCCTGTTGTACTAGTTCTCATCTGTATGTAGAAGAGGAGCATGTATAGAGAGATGTGCAGCCTGTAAATCATATTCCAAGAGAAAGAAAGAAATAAGGAATCCTCCATTAAAATATTCCTGATGGAAAAATCATGTTGTCACTCTTCAGAACCTGGGATGTATAGGACAGAAACTTCTGAGCAGGCATCTAAAATGCTTCTCCTAGCTCCTCTGTCCATGGATCCCTGGAAACAGATATTTCCATCTTGTCTGGTAAAATCTCAAAGGATGGAAGAAAAAGCAGAGGGGAAGAAATGTAGTTCTCCTTCACTGTTCTGTCTGGTATCAAAGTTAGATGTGAGTAGTTAAAGGGCAATAATGCACATGTAGACAAAACCCAGCATTAACTTCAGTGCCGGGTCTGCCCAGCCACTAGGGTCACATGGCAGGGCTGCAGGCACTACTTGCCAAGTCCCAGCACATGTAGACACCAGCCAAAAATTGCTTAATGGGCATTAGCTTAATGCACATTAAATTTAATCACCCTTAAATGCACCTGTAGATGGTGTTCAAGATTTGGCCACACTATATAATGACATAATAATACTTTCCATTTTAGTTTGAGTTCCTTTCCTAAAGATTTCTGACAATTACAATGCTGCACATTGGGCACATCTACACGAGGCATGTTTAATGTTCATTAGTCTAGTTTACTGCGCAGTTCAGGTATATATCTACATGTGCACATCCTTACTGTGCAGTAAACTAGCCTAATCATGACTACATTTGATCACTGTAAATGCAGATATCAAAATTAGTCACGATTAGTTAAAGCACAGTAACACATGTATAGATGTGAACTGCCACTAAGTTTAGTGCCAGGTCTGCCCTGCTACTAGGAAGCCAGCTTGCCAGGAGCCTCTCCTGCCACTAGTCTGGGAAGCCTTTGTGGCAGGCCCCCAGGCTATAAAAGCCTGCAGCTATTTTGTGTCCTGGGGCACACAACACAGGAGCCTGTATAAGCCTACTGCCTGCACAGGAGCACTGCAGGCCCTGTGTGCCCTCTGGGACAGGACACGGGCAGCCTTTGCCTGTGTGTATCCTAGCCAAAGCTGCTGCTTCTCCACAGGTGAATGTTATAAAGGGCTGTAGCCTGCCGCACCCCCTGACCAGCTCTGAGATCTCCCCAAGGCTTCTGGCTGGCTGTATGGCACCAGAGCCAGCACCTACTCCCTGCTACTGCTCACCCCCAACAGTGTCTCCTGTGCTTGCAGGTGCTGTGGCACATTGCCTCTGCTATGCAGCTCCCAGTTCCTGGCCATGCCCCTGTGCTGAACACTGCTGACAACTGTCCAGGGCTGGCCACACAGGGACAGCTGCGTGGGGGCCCAGAGAGCCGGCACTGGGATGCACCACCAACATGTCCTCCCCATCCTTCCCATCCAGGCCCAGCCCCACCCACTTGCACATGACTGAGCCTTGCACCTGGGGCCCCAGCTGGAGCTAGGAGGAGACTGGAGACCCCATGGCACTCTGGGGTGATGTAGAGGTGCAGAGGCAGTTTGTGTGGGGCAGGCATACAGGAGCATGGGCACTCCCAGTCGGTGCAGGAGTGCCACATAAAGATCAAGGCTTTGTGGGCACAGTGGGTGGCCATGATTGGCCACAATCATTGGTCCAGTCATGCCCATAAGCCCATGCCCTTATGCAGGAGTTGACCAGGATGTTGGCACCCTGGGACCCAAGCTACAACCCTGCAGTTTACACCAGCAGGGGTGGCCTTCCTGAGCCCCCACCCCCCTGACCCCTCCAATGACTTGTCACTGGTGGAGGCCAACTTGGGCATTCAGCACCCCACCCTGCCCACCTCCCTGGCTGCTGCATCCACTAGCAGCTTGGGGAGCCCTGGCCAACAGCTTCCTTGACAGCTCCACAGCCCCAGCCCCTGCTGCGACAAGTAGCCAGCCATGACACCACCATCTGCCAGCAGCACCAGCTCCTTCCTGGGAGGGGGGGGCCTGGCTGGTGTACCATGTACTGTGAGTCGAGGACACTGGGCACAGCTGGACACCATCGCTGATGGGGAAGCCAGTGCCAAGCCACCAGCCTCACCAGCCCCAGCCACATGGTAAGTCCTGCACTGGGGGGAGGGCCCTCCCAGCCCCAGCTCCACCCCTATTCCTTGGCCCTGCCCCTGGTCTTGGCCCTGGCCCCTGCCCCACCCTGCCCACCCAGCCTGCCTGCACTCCCCTGTCCCCATGTTTCCCCCTCCACAGCATGCAGAGAGACAGGACACAGTTCAAATCTTTATTGAGAAGCCCTTGTCCACACAGCTTCCTCATACCCAAAGGAAGATGTCAATACTGGCAGCAATGTGCTCCTCAGCAGCAGAGGGAATAATGTATAGCACTGCCATAGGTAGTCCTTGAGACACAGATAGAGATTTTGGGGCAGCCCAGGCTTGCCTCCCACACTTTTGTAGCTTAGGATCCCAAACCAGGAGCACAGGTGTGCCTGGAGCACCAGCAGGATCAGCAGCAGCAGGGTGTAGTGGGTTGTGTACCCCTCACCCTGCACAAACAGCTCATCATACACTGCCTGGGGCACATGCAGCAGGGGCACGCTTGGGGTGCAGTGGTGGTGTAGGGCCAAACTGGCCCCAGGGCACCTCCTCAGAGTGGCCCCCACTGGGGAGGGCAAGGGTGCAGCCAGCCCTTGCCCCAGTTGTCTGGGAGCCCTGCATGTCCTAAGCCCGGGTGCTATGAGCTGGTTGGCAGGGTAGCAGAGTGGCTGGCCTGCAGGGGGAGAGATGGGAGAGTAGGGTCTGGAGCCGTGGCAGCAGGTGCTCCCAGGAGCCTGGCCTGGCCTGCCCTGGATAGGGATAGGGGAAGTAGGCTGCCTGAGGCCAGCACTCATTGGCCCACCGGCCCCTGGGAAGCATACAGGGATGGGGGCTCGGCCAGTGGCTGCCTAGGCCCAGGCTTGCCTGGCCAAACTTACTATGCTCCCCGGGCACCTATGCATGGCCGAACCCTGATCTGAGGCCATGCAGCACATGGCCCCTGGTACATTTCTGAAATGTTGCAAACTCACAAAAAGCTTCTGTCTCTTGCCTTTGCAGGGCCAACATCTGGTTGCTGGCAAGAAGCTGCAGGCCCCAGTAGGGATGCAGGCTCCAGGTCACTGCCACCCAGTGTGGGAGCCCACCGTATTAGCTGTGTGCAAAATGGGCCATATTCGATTTGGATTTGGCCCAAATTGGGGACAGTGATTCAATTTATTGATTTGGATCACCATCCTGATTTGATTCAGCCGAATCCAAATCTGAATATTCGATGCTGATTCAGAGAATCAGCGATTCAGCTATAGACACAGCTTTAACTGTTATTTCTACATACCTCAAGGTACC